TCCATTGCTGGCTGACCTCAGAGTAGCTGTTCTTAGACAGCAAAACTTTAAAACTTTAAAAATGAATGGGAAATTGAAGAACAAGAAGTAATCTGCAGACTGGATTAAGAAACTATGTATTTTTTCCCCATTATCTGGATTTTCCTCTTTGTCCCTATGGGTTTATTGCTTGCTTACCTCTTCCTGCACTGCTCCCTTGTGCCAATGGCTGCTGTCCTGCCCATCCATATTAGACTTTGCTTACCATTGCTGACAACTATGGGGAGCAAGGATTTGGAGTGGTTAATATGGTGGTGACTGTGAGCCTAGGCTGTGTGTGTAGAAGGTGGGGGTGGTGAAGGGGAGAGAAGAAAGCAGTCTCTTTGCACAGAATGAGAACTGCTGGAACTGCAGTGGGTTTTACTTAAAGGCTGGGTATCAGCTGTCTGTAAGTATAAGGTGGGATGGATCTAGTGCAGGGGTGGGCAATTATTTCAGGCAGAGGGCTGCTTACTGAGTTTTGGCCAGCTGTTGAGAGCTGCATTGGTAGACCCGTCCCTTGACAGATGTCCCGCCCCTGGTCACTATCTTGTGACTGGAAGTCCCGTCCCCTAACCCCTGACCTTTGCCGCCAGAAGTCCCTCTCCTTGCCCCTAGAAGTATTCCTTTCAGCAAGGGGTTTTGCCATCCTGGAACCAGAAAAATACCAAATTATATTCTAAAACGCAAACATCTACAGCATTCATTAATTTGATTTCAAAAAATATTTTTGTCCTGATTTACCTGCGTTTGTGTAGTGTACACAGAGGTGATGGCACGATAGCTTAAAATGAAGTCTTACTCTTCTATGTTGTGGGGGGATGGGTATAGGTTTGTGGGGGGCTATGGGTGTGTGGGTATGTGGGTTGAGAGAGCATGTGGAGGTGTGTGTGGATATGTAGGGTGTGGGTGGGTATGGTGTTTGTGGGGGACTGGGTTCCTGGGGTGTGTGAGGGGATGTGGGGGGGTCTGTGTCCCACTGTCCCTACCTGCATACACACACCCCCCTACCAGCACAGCTGCATGCTCCCTGGTCTGGTGATGCAGCCAGCAGCCAGGTGGTGCTGGAGCATGGTGGGGGCAGAAAGGGAGTGAAATGGTTGGGGGTGGGCAGGGCTGGGCTGTTCAGTCCTACTGAGGCTCCCCCTGGGTCCTACTGCCCCTGGCTCTTGTCGGCTTCGACAGGCTGCTGGGAGCAGATAAATATTAATTTTCTAAATTTTTTAAGTGCCCCATGGGCCAAATAGAATGGCCTGGTAGGCTAGATTTAGCCTGTGGGTTGTATTTTGCCTGCCCTGATCTAGTAGAAATGAGGGATCAGCTGACCATTCTTAAAACATGGACTGGATCAAACCTTCATGAACTAGATCAAGTCTCTGTGGGCTGCAGGTTGCTAAGTCCTGTTCTAAATGAAAGTACTATAATGTGGTTATCTAACTGGTTGGATCATTATGCTCAAATAGTAGTCATCAGGGGGTCAGTGTCTGACTGGGAGGAAGTATTGAATGGGGTTCCCCAGAGGCCTGTTCTAGGCTTAGTACTATTTAACATCTTTATTAATGACTTAGAAGAAGGGATTGTGTGTACACTTAATAACCTTGTGGATAATACAAAGCTGTGTAGAGTTGCAGACACTTTGGAGAGTAGGATTATGATTTAGAATGACTATGTTAAACTGGACAGATGGACCAAAATCAACTGAATTAAATACAATAAGGACAAGTGCAAAATCCTTCACTAAAGATGGAATAGTCAAATACACAAAGATGAATTTGGGGATGACGGGCTAGGCTGCAGTATTGCAGAAAAGGACCTGGGTTTTATATAGCGGGCTATAAGCCAAATATGAGCCAACATTGTAGCTGGGTTGCAAAAAAAGACCAATAGCATACTAAGTTGTGTTATCAGGAATATCACCTGCATATCATGGAAAGTGATTCTTCTGTTCTACTTAGTACTTGGGAGGCCTCACCTGGAATACTGGATCCAGCAAATTTGCTCCTGGTTGGCTGCCTACGTGTGCCTTACTGTGCAGTAATTACTTGGCAGTTAATTTGCTACTTGCATTTGCAGGTAGCAAATTAACTGCTGAGTAGAGCAAATTACACCCATCCCTGCCCACCCCTGGTCCCATAGAACAAATTACAGCCCAGCCCCGCCCACCCCCAGCCATTTCACTCCCTTCCTGCCCCTGCCCTACTCCAGCACCACATGGCTGCCGGCTGTATCGCTGGACTGGGGAGTACAGGGCCGCACCTGTAGGGTGTGTATGTGTAATTTTGCACGTGTAGGTGGGATGCTTACTATGCAGCAATTTGCTCTACTGCGCAGTACAGTGTCTCGTGTAGCCATGCTCAGCGTCTATCTGTATACAGGCAAGGTACTTTGGGTAGATGTGATCTTTTATTAGACCAACTGAGCAGTTGGAAAAAAGTTCTTAGCAAGCTTTCAGGTGCAGTCACCCTTCTTCAGGCACAGGGAGTCTCTGCTGTTCTGAGACTCCAAGAAATGAGAGAAGCTAAAAGTGTGGCAGGATGACATCTTTCAACTACCTGAAGGGTCGTTCCAAAGAGGATGTAGGTAAACTGTTTTGAGTGGTGAGAGATAACACAACAAGGACCAATGGTCTCAAGTTGCTGCAAGGGAGGTTTAGGTTGGATATTAGGAAAAACTCTCTCATTAGGAGTGTGGTGAAGCACTGGAACAGGTTACCTACCCCTTTCATTCAGTAGCTGGAGAAGACAGCTTGAGCAAGGGAACATTGTTTTAAAATCACTTTCTGAATTAAAGTCTTATTTCTGTATATGACTTGATTCAAGGCAAAACTTCTAAAAATGCTTGTGAGAAATACAATTTGAAACTTAGTTCCCCCCCCAAGTGCATCTCTGTACACACAATGTGTGTGTTTCTTTCCTTTTTCACATTGGGAAGACCAAGGTGCTCCATCAGCCTGCCCCAGCAAGCTGCTCCCCTCCTTCAACAAACTACCAGTGGAGAACCCCTGGAAAACGTTGAGCATTTCCCATACCTTGGCAGTTGCCTCTCCCAGTCAGTCAGTCTTGATGTAGAAATCAAACATAGAATTTGCTGTGCCAGCATATCCTCTGGAAAGCTGCTTTGCTATGTCTTTGCTGACCAAGATCTACAGATAGAACATAAGATCCTGGTCTACAGTGCAGTGGTTATCCCTATGCTCTTCTACAGGTGTGAGATGTGGGTGACATATCAAAAGCCATCTTAAATTCCTGGAACAGTTCCATTAGCATTGCCTCAGGAAGATTCTTCTTATTACATGGGAAGACCACTGCACCAATGTCAGTGTTCTTTCTTTGGCTAACATAACCAGCATTGAGGCAAAGATCATGAAACATCAACTCTGCTGGGCTGGCCATTGTGTGTGGATGGCTGACGCATCTCCTGAAGTGAGTCTTCTTCTGTCAACTTAGTCATGGTAAGTGGACTTGTAGAGGATAGAGAAAGTGCTACAAGGACACCATGAAAGCATACCTTAAGAAGGGTGGTATCAACCCTACAAACTGGGAAGTGATGGCTTGTAACAGGTCTCAATGGCACTATACCATATATCAAGCTACAACCCACTTCGAAGAGAACCATGTTGTTCAGGAAGCTGAGAAACAGCAGAGGAGGAAGGAAAGTGCACATCCTAGCCAACAGTTGTTCCCCGCACCCAAGGCAGCACTTGTCATATCTGTGGAAAAACTTGCAGAGCGTGGATTGGACTCCTCAACCACCTTTTAAATTCACCTGTAATCCCTCCCCCTGCCTGCAGACATCATCCTGGTATCAAGGAATAGCCAATGATGACAGCCAGTGACTCTGGAAGGGCAGTGGTGGCAATTGTGGTGGGACTGCTCACAGCATACCAAATGGCCACCTGCTGTTGAAGAGATGATGCAAGTGGTGGTTGGACAAGCACTTGTACGGTGAGTGGGGCAGTGTCAACATAGCCTGTGCTCCTGGCACTGACAGTGCCCTGGATTGTGATAGCCCCACCTGTTAGCTCCACCCCTGAATTTCCTCACCCACCAGTAGCATTACACGCTGGATGGAGTGGTTAACATTTGACACTCCTAGTTTAAAACACTATGTATAACCTCTGCTGCAAATGAGTTTTGAGTGTTTCTATTTATAGTCATAAATTGTACAAGTAATGAACAGGTTTTACCCAAATAGTTTTGTAAAGTAAATGAAAACATCAATGGATAATGCCACTTGCAGCAGATGCTGTAATAATCAGCGCTATCAATATTATAAATCTAGTGAAATGCAATTTAGTATTTCAGTTGTTACTGTCTGCGCTCAATTGTCAGTTTTAGGGAGAAGGCAGAGTGTGTGGAAGACCCATTTTATCTATTAGCATGGAGTACAGCAACAGCACAAGTTATCAACAACCTATGCATAAGGGCATGGAGGAGTATGGCCGTTTTAGATGTGACAGCCATTGCAAAGTGCTGTCCGTAGCCCGGTGCGGATCTTCAATGCAACCACTGACACGATAACTATGTCATCCCGAGACGGCTGGTACACTGGGTTTCGCACGCGCATGCCGGGGTCGGCAGGAAGTTTCCATCAGTGCAGCAGGCAGTGACATCCGCCTTGTCCCGCAAGGACCAGGTACCGCCCGGGGCCCGTTTCCTTCGGGAATGAACCCGTTCTCCCAGAAGGCCCTACCAGCGTGGCCGAGCACACCTCTCCTGTCCCCGGTCACTAGCCCAGAGGCACAGCCAAGCCAAGCCCCGCCCCCTCCCCTGGCCAATCAGGAGGCGCCGATTCTTACCGCCCCTCAAAGAAACTGGCTGAGCTGTGCCGCTCGTCGCTCGGAAGTGCCTAGCTCTAAACCCCGCCCCACCTCCCAACACGTCACCAGAAGCCATAGTAACCAGCCAACCAGCTTCTCTAATGGTGCGTCGTCTTTTTGAAGCCTGTGTACGAGGCACGCTGATTGGCCGCAGGATGCAGGCGTGCCCCGCTGCTTCCTGTCATGCTTTCCTCTGCTGGTTACATCATTTGGTCCGGCTGGGCTGGGCAGGGAAATCCCGGGTGGGCTTCGTCCGCGTACCCGGCCCGCGGTCGCGCTGAGCTGAGGTTTGTCCCGTGACTCGGGGCAGGGGAGGTACTGCCGGTTCGGGGTCGCCTGTGCGCGGCGGGGCGGGCGGGCGCCCAGCTCCTGAGCAGCTGCAGGGGCCGGGCGTGGCAGGAGCCTGGCGCTGCGGGCGGCTTGTGGCGGGCCCCGCGGCAGCCACGTGCGGGCGGGGGCGTCGGCACCGCGGAACCTGCCCTGTTCCCTGCACGATTGTGCTGGTGGGGGCCTGGGCAGCGAGGCGCTTTCGCGGGGCTGGGCGCTCGCCCGGGCCGAGGTTCGCACTCGCGACTTTGCCAGGCGGACAAGGGGCAGCTACTGCTCCCGGGCTGGCACCGATGTAGCCAGGGAAGCGGCTGGGGAAGGCGGCTGATACATGCTCGGCTCGAAAGTACTGGGTTCATCACCGCTCCTGGGGCAGCGCTCCCGCCTCGCGTGCTCTGCGGTTGGAAAAGGGGCTGCGGGAGTTGGTAGCTGCCTGCCTCTCCTGCAGACAGAGACTTTCCGCTCAAGCTAGAAATATAGTGGAAATGGTGCAGTGATGGTTGTGTAAAGCGCACAACTTCCCGTGCCCGCCCCTTGCCATGCACCCTTGTGCAGCTTTTTAATAGTTGGTTTTTTTTCTCCTGATATTTATTTAATAGGTGACTTTCTCCTAATATTTCTTTAATTGGTGCTGGAAGCACTTCAGTTAATAACTTTTAGAAGAGCTATGGACTTTGTCGTTTCTGCTTGCTTTTCATCTTCAGTGATTTCCTGCAGGGATAAAAATAAACTCAGTTCAATGTGTTCGTTAGTTTAAATCTCCTAATTTCTATGCCTAAAATACAGAGTTTTCCGTAACTTGCCATGGAAAATTGAGATGCATCATTTTCTCCATAAGCAGCTTTACTGTGTGTTTCATTAGCAGAAACTGTAGTATAGATATGGTTCTGGTATTTCTAACACCTGTTTTAAGTAAGGTAAGAAGTCTTGTGTTCTAATACAGATAATGCTCTTGCTGCCATCAGCAAAGCTGCTCTGATGGAGAAAATACATTTTCCAGTTCTCAAACAGTGGACACAACGTATATAGGTTGAATTTTCATGTAGACTAACAGTGTAGGCTGAGCACCGCTAATCTTTTTCCCCAGCAGGCTGGATGGGCAGTGCCTGGTCCATCTGTGGGCCAGATCCAACTGGTGGTCCTTATTCAGCACCTAGAGCAGGTGCATTGTGGCCCCATCTGGCTTGTGGAGGAGACAGGGGGCAGCCAAACCCAATCTGGCTGCCTGAGGGATGGCGGCTTGGCCTTGTCCCATTGCTGGGGGGTGGGGAAGGAGGGAGGGGTTGTGGCCTATCCCACCTCTGGCCTACTGTGTGGGGGCTTAGGAATTTGGAAGCAGAGGAGGGCTGTGGTAGTGTCATTGCTCCCCCATCCCCAAATTTCCCAACCCATGGAGAGTCCCGAGGGCCGGGTGCCATGGCTCTGCAGGCTTCATCTGGCCCTCGGGCCGGAGGTTGAGCACTCTTGGTGTAGATCATTCTGGTGGGAAAATCCAGGCTCAGAAAGCTTCCTGCAATATGAATCCCCTCTTAGCAGCTGTGCAATGAGTTATGGAAAAGGAGAACAGAATAACTCAGCTGCAAGAGATGGTTCTCAGCATGTACATCAGGTTCAGATCTTGGAAAATCTGTCTGATTGACTCCTTTGTAGATCAGTGGTTCTCAGCCTTTTTAGTCTCAAGGCATCACTTGTTATATTCAAAACACCAACTAGAAAATGCTGGCTCTGATTTTTTCTGCAGTCAAAAAATGAGTAAAAAGTAATAGAGCCCTCTTTTGTTGAAACAAACTCAGAAAGCACACAAGTCTGAATACTTTTAAGACTATGGAGTCCTATTGGAAATTTATGGCTATGTGTTGGCTGGGGCCAGCGGGTGTGGGCAGGAGCATGGCATGGGCTGCCCCAGGCAGGCTCAGTTCCAGTGGAGCACTGTGAGGGCAGTCACTGACTGGAGGAGCTCTCTTGTATGTGCCCCCTACCTCCTTCTCCCTCCCCTCCCCTCTGGCTGGCTCCCAGGCAGTTTCCCTCGTTCCCTCTCTCCCTCCCCATCCCCCATGTATCCCCCCACTCCCCCATATACTACCCCACTTCACAAGACATGGCATGCAGGGAGTGGATCCCACCTGTCTCCACTCCTGAACATGGCTTCCCACCCACCCAAAGCCCCGTAGGGAGTTTTGGTGATCTGGCTTGTGACAACCTCATCAAAACTCCCTGTCTTGCCCTCGGGCCCAAATAATTGCCCACCCCTGCTGTGGATAGATCTGGAGAACGTGCTCCCCGCCTCAGTTTATTGCCTACAAACAATGGAAGATGGAATGCACTGGAAAAAGTCTTATATTTTTAAAAGGATCAATTTATAAGTACATTAATAGGGTGCTGGAGGGAATTTCAGGCTTGGGATTTGTTTAAGATAAGGCCCAGAACAGCATTTGGGAGAAGATTTACAGCAGCATCAAGGCTTGCATGACATTTGAAGGAATATTGGGCCTGATCACAAGTCCACTGAAGGTAGCCACAGGCATTGGATCAGCCGTTTGGGACTGTTTCATATATGAATATTTTATGTATATTTTATTTTACCACTGTGAGAGAGATTTTATTTTTCCCTCATTTTTAAAATTCTTGGGTGAAAGCTGTGGCATAAAATGGTTCTTACATTTTTGTTTTATAACCCACAAAATAGGTAAAGTGCCATTTTGTGATCCCTTCTTTTACAAATTAATCTTAATAATTTCCATTAACTGTAAATTTTATTGTGCAACTGAACCGATGAATTAATAATCTATAACATGAAAACATATTGGTAAAGTCTCATTCTAAATAGCATTTAGTAGATTCCTTGTTTGGATGTTCATGTAACTGTTTTTCCTTTTTTTTAGGTGAAAAGGTCCCAGCTTATGTGTGATTGCAGTAGCATCACCTGTGCAGACTGAACAGCACTGTCCCCAGTGAATGTTGTTTGTTTAAAAAAAGAAAAAGTGAGTGCTTAAAGTTTGTTCCCCAGTAGCCCATCCACTTTTTATTTACTACTTTTCAATTATAGAATTATCCAGTAAAGTGTAGAAGGTATAGGTGTATATTTGTATCAGTAGCATGTTTCTCTCTGTCTCTCCCCATCTTTCTTTCATTTTAATTTTTAAACAGCACTTGTTTGAGTCTGACATTCCACATGGAAATATTGTCTCCCCAGAAATGTTTGAATTCCATCAAGATTAATCTTCCTACAAGTGTTTCTCTCATCAAAAAGAAAAGAATAAAATAAATTATTTCTGCCAGCAAAGTTGATATGACTAGGCTCATCAAATAGTGCACATTTTTTGTGTTGTTTTTCTGTATAGCATTTTAGTTACTTCAGAATATATTTCATAAGCTGTTTTATTTGTGGATTTTGAGATTGGGGACATTGGGCTATGGTCAGTTAGTGATAGAAGCAGTGGGAGGGCTGAGCAGATTCTTTTCTTCTGTTGTGATTCCTTATTTCTGCAGCAATTTTAAAATAATGCTATTCTGTATATTTCAGGAATTTTTTTGCAGATAGAAACAATCTCTTGAAAAGAGCACCTTACTTATTAAGTCAGTTTAATTTCTGAAAAGCGTACAGGTATCCTAGATTTATCTCTTTGGAGATGTCTGTGCAGCAGATTTGATTTCACATGTTCCCTAGTTTTGGCTGTTTAAATATAAAGTCAATAGCCACATACTAGAGGTGAATACATGCATCAGTCTGGTATTGGATCGGTACCGATGTAAAGAAAATTTGCTGTATTGGGTATCTGCCCGATGGGGCCGATAATTTGGCCAATAAATGCCTGTGCTGCGCACAGCCGCAGTACACCACGGAGCAGAGTCGGCAGCATGGAGAGCTGCCTCCAGCTAGTAAGTCAGAAGGGGAGGTGGGGAAGGAATGGGCGTGGGGGGGTGGATCAACACCCCCTGCGGTGAGGGAGGGGGCAGGCACTGCTGGGGAGGGTGGGACAGAAGCGTGGCTTGTGGTGGGGTGTCTCCCACCACTGCTTGCACCCCGGGTGGGGGGGTGCGCCCTTTGGACCTGTGCGGGGCGGGCTGGAACTGGTGCCGCGTGGTTCTTCTTGGCAGGGGCTGAAATTGGAGTGGGCAGTGGGAGGGGCTGTAGCCACCCCAAATTTTGCAGCACCTCCACTTCCAGCCCTGCACCGCCAGGCGCAGCCCAGCTCCATGTCCTGCCTTCACCCACGTGCTGGGAAGAGCCGAGGCTGCTCTGGGTGGCTAGTGGCAGTGCTGAGAATGGAGCTGTGACGAAACTTGGGGTGGCTATAGCCCCTTCCAATGTCGACAGTGCCTGCTCTGAGGCTCTTTCGGTACTGCGCAGGGCTCTTCTTGGCGGGTGTGGGCTTGGAGCGGGCACTGGGAGGGGGCTGCAGCCACCCCAGATTTCATTGCAGCTCTGCTCCCAGCGCTGCTGCTGCTGCCAGCTGCCCGGCACGGTCTCAGCTCTTCCCAGTCTGTGAGTGGAGGTGGGACATAGAGCTGGACTGTGCCTGATGGTACCAGGTCTGAGAACAGAGCTGCAGAGACATTTGGGGTGGCTGTAGCCCCTCCCAGTGCTACCAGGAGCCCAGCCTCTGTCAAGAAGAGCCCCACACAGTGCTGGCTCCAGCTCCCCCCGGCCCCGAACAGATATGGGGGGGAGGGCGGGGTACAGGCCTCTTTCTCTCCTCCCCCCCCGGGTGCAAGCAGCAGCAGGAGTCACCTCCTCCCCACTCTTCTCCCCCCCAGCTTGCACTTCAGACCTGCGCCTCTGCCCCCCTGGGCAGCACCTGCCCCTGCTCCTACCCTCACCGTGGGGGCATTGATCTGCCCCCTCCATGCCCCTTCCCTCCCCTCTCCCCTTTCAGCACACCAGATTTACCACCCGGAGGCAGCTGTATTGACTGTCAGATCAGTATCGGCCGACATGCCTCCTTAAATATTGGCTATTGGTATTGGCCCCCAAAATCGCTATTGGTGCACCCCTACCCGATACCTTTCATCATTGGTTCTAGTTAAGACTCTCCAGGTTTTATGTTTAGGTCTAGAATTGTTTCTTCTATTTTGTGTCTCTGTCATGTAGCATGGGAATGACTTTTTCAACAAATTGTTGCATAGTGTGTTCTTTGTATAATGAATCTTCCATGCTCAGGTGCAGCCTCTTGACTATTACACAGCCTAATCAGGGGGGCATTGTTACCTTCTACATGGTTGTTACTCAGAGACTAAGATTGATTAGGTCAGATTATGATTTTTACTGCTTTCATATTATGAAAGGTACTATTCTTGCTTTTCTCTCTCTGTCATTAAAACAACTATATTTAACACAGTAAAATTTATTTCTGCTCCCAGCTCATTCAGTTTTCAGCAAGCATTAGAGCTTGACACCTTCTTTTCAGCCTCACTTTGCTATTTTAATGTTTTACGTACCTGAAGTTGACACACATGGCTACTGACCCTTACTGTAACTCAGACAAGGTTCCTTGGGTGAATTTGATATCTTTTATTAGACCAACCCAAATGGTTGGAGAATAGTTATTAAGCAAGCTTTCGGGTTCAAAAACCCTTCGTCAGGCTCAGGAAGCTGCAGCAGTTGGTGCAACTCATACTTTCCTAAATTCTGTCCTTGGGAAGCAAATCTGTAATTATCAGTAACTATATCACTGCTCATCCAGGAACTGTGTAGCTTTTTGCTTTTTGGGGGTGGGGGCAGAGAACTGAAATAGTAAACTTTGGTCTGCTGTGTATGTGAGCTTGTGCCCTGTGGTTACTGGATGCTGTTGCATGGGTACAGTTCTCCAGTTAGTAGAAATGGGCAAAAAGTAATACTTCGATTTGTGCATGGAGTCTGTTACATCTCGGCAGCCTCCATAGCCCGGTCATAGTTACACTTTAGTACCTTTTGCACAAAACTTTAAAAATATTTACTGTATTCACTCCCTTCTTCCCTTAAGTTAAAGGGAGTTGTGAACTTTGGGAGAAGGAAGTGAAGATCCCTGGTGCTTCTTTTTTTTGCTCCTAACAAGGAGAAAGTAATGTGTTTAGAAAGAGTCTGAAGTTAGGGCAGTTACCGTAGTTGGGTTATAGTCCCAAATTGGCCACTAATCAGCTGTGTGGGCCTTTTGGAATTATGATCAAAATCCTGAGTCAAATTGAGGTAGCATGTAGCTAATTAATATTAGTAACATGTTCCTGTGGTGGAAATTGCTGTAAAAGTGCAGAGTATTATTATTTATAAAACTAAAGTCTTAACTGATGGACTTATTCTTAGAATACACAGAGGTTTTGCTTTGTTAAGGTTCTGTTATCTGCTAGCCATTTCCCTGGTGAGCTGAATACCGGGAGATGGGTTTGTATGTGATGACAATGCCAGGGCTTAATTATGTCATTAATCTCAGCAGATTTGCTAAGGTTGCATTCAGTCCCATCAGCCAAATTATTAATGAAAATATTAAACAATACAGCATCTAGGAGAGACCCCTGGGGAACCCTACTTTGTACTTTCTCCCAACTAAACATTGAGCCATTGACTTCTACTCTTTGAGCAGGATGATCTAACCAGTTGAATATCCACTATATACAGTGCTTTCCTCTAGTCTGTATTTCCTTAGCTTGTTTTTGAGAATATCATGGGAGACTGTCATAAGCCATACTAAAGTCTAAGTATATCAGATCTGGTGCTGTTCCCTCATTCATATAACCTGTCACCTTATCATAGAAGAAAATCAGATTGGGCAGGCTTGGCTCGCTCTTGATGCATCCATGCTAGCTGTTCCTAATCACTTTGTTTTTCTCCATGTGCTTCACAATAGATAGCTTGAGGACCTGTTCCATCATCTTTCCAGGTATGGAGGTTGGGCTGACTTGTCTGTGATTTCCCTGGATCCTCCTTCTTCCCTTAAATGAGCACCATATTTGACATTTTCTAGTTGTGTGTGATCTCATCCAACCTCCACAAGTTCTTGAAGATACCTAATGGATCTGAAATTACTTTGCCTAATTCCTTCAATACCCTCAGGTGCATCCCATCTAGCCCTGTTGATTTAAAAGCATCTAGGTCCTGTATGTAATCCCTAATCTATTCTTTTACTCTGGGCTGCTTATCTCCTTCCCTATCTTTTTTGCCAACTGCACTTTTTCATTTGGTAGCTGCCCTTGTTAGTGAAGACTGAAGTAAAAAAGGCATTAAATGCTTCAGCCTTCCCTTCATCAATCGTAACTAGATTGTCTTCTGCATTCTGTAAGGGACTTATGATTTCTTTTCATGTTCCTCTTTCTTTTGACATACTTAAAATCCCTTTCTATTGCCTTTTATGTCCCTTGACAGCTGCATCTCAAATTGTGCCTTAGTTTTCCTAATATTTCCTGGAAGCCCATGCAATACTTTTATATTTTTCTTTAGTATATGTATCTAGTACGACCAAATTTCCACTTTTCATAGGATTCCTTTTTGAGTATCAACCCTTGAAGAGATCGCTGTTTAGCCAGGCTGGCTTCCTGTTGCACTTATCATTCTTTTGCTTCATTAGGTAGCTTGTTTCTGCACCTTTTAAGAGGGTCTCCTTAAAATACAGTGAGCTATTTGGGAATCCTTTTCCCCTCAGACTTGTCTTCCAGGGAATCCTGCCCACCAGTTCCTTCAGTTTGTTGGAGTCGGTTCTGAAATCCAGTGGTACTGTTCTGGTGCTCTCCTTCCTTCTTCCCCTTAGGATGTTGAACCCTTTATCATTTAATGATCATTGTCACCCAAGATACCTTCCACCTTCATGTTTTCCACCAATTCCTCCCTGTTTATGAGCAGCAAGTTGAAGTGTTTCCCCTCAAGTTAGCCACTCTACCATCAAAAAGTTATCCGTAGCACACTCCAAGAATTCCGTAGGTTCATAGACACTAGGACTGGAACGGACCTCAGAAAATCATCGAGTCCAGCCCCAGGGGCAGGAAGTCAATAGGGATCATAGGATCCCAGCAAGATAAACATCCAAATGTCTCATGACAGTGTTCAAAGTAGGTGCTTGAACCACCTCCAGTGGCAGGCTATTCCAGACCTTGGGGGCTCGGACAGTAAGGAAGTTCTTTCTTATGTCCAGCCTGAAACGGTCATGGAGGAGTTTGTGACCATTCGACCTTGTCATCCCTTGGGGCGCTCTGGTGAACACACGTTCCCCCAGATCCTGGTGAGCACCCCTGATAAACTTATAGGTGGCCACCAGATCGCCCCTGAGCCTGTGCTTTTCCAGGCTGAAGAGTCCCATGGCTCTCAGCCTCTCGTCATAAGGTCTGTTTTACTGACCTTTGATCGTGCATGTGGCTCCCCTCTGCACTCTCTCAAGCTTCTCCACATCCTTTTTGAATTGTGGAGCCCAAAACTGGACGCAGTACTCCAGCTGTGGCCTCACCAATGCCGAGTACAACGGGAGAATGACGTCCCGGGATTTGCTTGAGAGGCACCTGTGGATGCAAGCCAGCGTTTTGCTCACTTTACTAGCTGCAGCATTGCATTGAAGGCTCACGGGGCTCATGATTGATCACAAGATGAACAAGTCTCTTTGGTCTCTAGTGCTAACCAGAGTAGCACTGCCAAGCCTATAAGGATGCTGCAGGTTTTTCCTCCTAAGGTGGAGAACCGTGCATTTTTCAGTGTTAACGCCATCAGGTTCTTGTCTGCCCATTTCCTGAGCCTGTTGAGGTCAGCCTGGATCACCCTCCTGTCCTCAGGTGTGGATGCTTTACCACAGAGTTTGGTGTTGTCGGTGAACTTGGCCAGTTCGCTTCTGACACAAATGTCTACATCATTGATGAAGATGTTAAATAGTATAGGCCCTACGACAGAGCCTTGAGGGACCCCACTGGTCACAGCGCACCATGGCGATTGACTTCCGTCCACTACCACCTTCTGGGTCCTACTGCGGAGCCAATTCCCCAGCCAGCGGATTGTGGTGAGGCCGAGGCCGCAGTTTGCCAGTTTTGCCAAGAGGTGATCGTGGGATACCAGATCGAAGGGTTTTTTTTAAGTCCAGCTATATGACATCAATCTCTTCCCCCTTGTCCAGGTGATAGGTCACCTGGTCGTAAAAGGAAATGAGACTGGCTGATGGCAACATCCTGAGGGATACCCAGCACAGGTTTATTGCGGGTAGGTCTTGCTTGACCAGTCTGTTAAGGATAGCCTCTTTGATAATCTTTTCCAAGGCCTTCTCCAGGATAGAGGTCAGGCTGATGGACCTGTAGTTTGCTGGATCCACTTTCCTCCCTTTCTTTAAGGGACGACATTGGCCTTCTTCCAATCATTGGGCGCTTCACTGGAGCGCCAGGTGCTCTCGAAGATCCATGCCAGGGGCAGAGCTATGGTGCTTGCCAGCTCCTTGAGTACCCTGGGGTCTAAACTGTCAGGGCCGGCTGACTTGAAGGTGTCCATCCTCTTAAGGTGTTCCTTCACGAAGTCACCTTTGATGGAGGGTAAGGAATCTCCCTCACCCAGGCCTCCTTGTGCTGTAGTGGGCGGGTGCATCCCATGGGACTGGTGGAAAACTGACGCAAAGTACCCATTTAAGAAGTTTGCTTTTTCCTGGGCAGTTGTCAGTTGTCCCATCTTGTTTAGCAGGGGTCCAATATTGCCCTTGTTTTTCCTCCAGCTCCCCACATATCTAAAAAAGGACTTTTTATTGTCCTTGATATTTGTTGCTAGCTGGAGTTATGTTGCAGCCTTGGCTTTCCTGGTTTGCTCTCTGCAGGTCCGGACCAGTGCTGGACAACTTGCATTTGCCTCCCAGCATATATCCTGATAATTAAAGTCCCCTATGAGAACCAGGTCCTGTGATTTGGAAACTTCTGTCAGCGGTTTAAAGAAGGCCTCATTTACCTCCTGGTTTGCACAGCAGACATGGTCTTTCTGGGTAGAGCTTGTGCGCTGCTACTTTGTAAAGCTGAGTAAAACTAAGAAAAGCATAACATTTGCACCACTTTTGGTGGTTTGGTAAAACTCTAATTGGCAGCTGGCATTGTGAAGGAAGACCAGATAGAGAGAGAGAAAGCTACTCTACTTTTTCTGTTGTCACTTCCCCTACAGCAAACATGATTTCTCTCCTACATATCTCTGTCTTGTAGGATAATATATTTCATAAGTGCTAGCTAAAACTTTGTGCAGATATTTTATTAATTCTGCCACACTCAATCCTGGTAAGCAAGCTAGCGATGAGTTTTTGTAGTCTGTATCAGTAATGATTGAATCTTCTGCTACTACTACTACTACTACTACATATCTGTCTTGGGGGAAATTTTTGAGAATAGGAAATAAGTACAGTTATTTGAATTATTTGTGAATTCCATTTTGAACACAAGATATGACTTTTAAAGTGGGTCTTTTAAACTTCAGTGTCGGGCAGGATGTTGCATTTCACATGTCAGTACAGGCTATAAATCTGAACACTAACTAATAGCAATAATAATAATTGTTCTGTAATTCTTAACTGCTGGTATGGGAGTTTTATACCAGTTATTAGATCAGTGTTCTAAATTCTAGTTTATTTTTAGGTACTACTGAGAACGTTCAACCTGGCTGTAGGTTAATTTTTTTATGATGTGTAGGAGGAGCTGGACCTGTAAAATGGAAGAGAAGTCAGTGACCAATGAACTCGGTCTCTCAGCAACCTTAAACCCATTTAACATAATCAGTTTACAGTATATGCTGAGAACGATGCTGTTAGCCCAAAATATACCTGAAAGGGCAGCTAGTTCCAAGCTGATCAGGGAACTGTTAACAACTAACAAGCATAATCAAGAGGAAACAGAGAATCATTTTACTTTTTTTTTCTCATTCTTCCCATGTAATAGTGGTGTATAAGATGCTTAAAATGTATTGCTTACCTTTGCAACTCTTTTGAAACAAGCTCTTGAGCTCTGGCACAGAATTTAAGGATGTACATCATAAGCCCACAGGAGACCTTTTTTAAAATAAGTACATTGGAAGCTGTCTTTGCAAAGCTCTTGATCCTCTGTGTTTTTTAAACTCAAAACTTTTCATGTATGATAACTTTTGGTTCTGGCAGGGAAAGAATGGTTCAGCAAGTTGCAGAAAATATTTGCTTTCCAGCTGAGGAGGAGAAGATATTGAAGTTCTGGAGCCAACTTAATTGTTTTCAGGAATGCTTGAAACAGTCAAAAAATAGACCTAGGTAAGAAGCTGTTTAAATGATATGTTAAGTGTGTATGAAACTTAACTGAGCTGGTTTAGCTGTAGGTCTCCCCCCTTCTTCCCCAGTCACTACAGCTTTGGCTGCTTTGCAAAGCTTGGTCTTAGCCAGCAGCACCATCAACAATGGCTACCAT